AACTCTTAGGCTGTCTCAGTTTGTTTCTAGATGTTAGTGTCTTAGTGCTCCAGTGCCTTCTGCCTGCTAGTGATTCCATCTTTTTTTCCATCTTTATTTTTTTCCTACTGAGAAAAAAAGATGGGAAAAGCGGTCAGAAAGAACAGAAGGGCTACAAATGGAATATAACATAATTTAAAAATGAATAAATCAGTGCAACTGCATAATAAATGCCTCATCTGGAAGCATCCCTACTTTGTTTTTTGTTTTTTAGACATCTATCCTGCCTTACCGCCAAAGCCTCAAAATGCCTAATAATAATAAATATAACAATACAAATGCAAAACCCCAAAGCAAATTCCCAACTGAAAACTAAAATAAAATAAAAGAACCATGTCTCAGTTCTAATATTTATTTACCAGCAAGAGTTTTTGCATGATGGAAGAATGGCTACTTCCTCCTTACAATCATGAATATGATGAGTGCGGATGAGTGTTCTAAGTTGATGTCCAATTGTGCAGATGCGATATTTGCATCAATATCCTCCCTCAAAAAAAGAAGAGAGATCATAGGGATTCTCCAGTTGGGTACCTGTATGGAATGCTGAAGTTGTACATAAAATTAACTTGGTGGGTAACAGCATCTTTTCGTACACTATGTGGAGACAGTCACCAGCTTTGTAAATGTTTGAACTGGACTCATGCATCAGTGGTTAGGTGTTGCTATATTAATGTGGAAAGAAAGTAGCAATGAGAAGCAAGATCTGTGCTTCCTCTCCCCTTCTACCCCAGAGTGCAGTGTAACAGCCTTTATTTGCTGTTTGTCCTTGTTTATTACATTTCTATCCTGACATTTTTTCTTTATGAGGAACTCAAGATGGATTACATAATTATCCTCCTCCTCTCAATTTTATTCTCACAACCCTTTTTTATGAATGACTGTATTCCCACCAGTACTTCTACCCTATTTTTTTTACTTAGTGTTTTAATTATAGAAACAATTTTAATCTGCATTAAAATCATTGCACCATCAACTGTGATAGTACAGCTTTCTACTGTCACACATGCACAACTCTGAACACTGTAAGATTAGCTGATGTAGTGGTAAACACCCCTGCTCCCAGACTATGCTAGCACACCCAGCATTGTTCATGCTTATCTCCTATTCATTAAAAAGGAAAGCCATCAAGTAAGAACAATACTGTTGCAGCAGTAAAAGGATACATGTTACTTAATAATTGAGCACTTTCATGAATATTGTAATTGATGTGGAATGAACTCATTCTACTCCTGATACTGTAATGTCCAGGGGTGTTATATTTCTGAGTTAAGGGAGACAGACCTATTATTTGGCACTTGTTTATTTTCATCACGTGAGATCAAGTCTGACAAGAAGTTAATTCTGCATTTATTAGTATAGGTAATACCGTCTCAGTAGTAGCAGATTCTCTGAGTTGATTAAAAAAAAACCTGCTATCAACTGCAGATCATCTCATAACACCAGAGATGGCAAGGTCTTCAGAAATGTAATAATGATGTTTTTTTGTTAAATTCACACTGCCATTTTTAAAAGAGTGCATTATTTTGATAGTTTACTGTATACAAAATGCATATTTTACTGAAAACATGCTGACTGAGGGGTTAAGTGCACAACAGTACAGCTTAAGCTGTCTATCCGCAGGCTGATATCCACAGTTGCACAGCCCATGGCACTCCAAGTAACCACCTACAGAGTGTCAGTTAATGTGGTAGCAGTAAAGAAGAACCTGGGCTAGGATGGGAATACCAGGCCCATGATATTTGTACTGCTCACCACAGTATTCTTTCTTCTTATTTTGAATGACATGTTATAGATAGATGGTGTCTGGATGAGCTGGCATGTATGGGGTTGTAGATGTCATTTAATTTTTACTTTAAAAATGGTCTTTGTCTACCACAAAATTATGCTTATTCCCAAGTAAATGAGCAGTATTCTAATAGGACATGAGCAGTAACATTTATCCTCAGAAAACCCATCACATCAGCTAACACTATTGGCATTGTAGTAGAGGCCCTTTATGTTAGTGCAACATAATTTATGTTAGCACTGATGCTTAACTGAATATTGCCCATTGTATTTTGTCCCTACATAAACAAATCCTATTTAATTCCTGAAGTCATGATAATGCTGTGATTTAAGTGAATTTAATGTGCAAAACTGTACATACTCTGTATTTCTTTTTCAGTAGGGTTGGAGTACATTTTTGTACTGTTTTATCATATCAGGTATGGAGAATCTGTTGAAAAGAATGGAATGGTAGTGAATAGTTGTGTGAAAAAGAAAAATGTTAGTTGTGCGCTTGACAACTCAAGTAATACATAGCAATTTGGTAAGACTGTTAATTCCCTTAAAATTATCTAGCTGCGGCACTACAGCTATGGTAAGGGAAGGAGTTACAGAGCAAGTACTCTGAGTATTAAAGAAAAATGCCCCTTGACTTGCTTTGTAATGCATTTGACGAATACCAAATATTGCTACTATATATCAGAAAATAGTTTCCTTAATCTGTGAGCCTGTCTAGGTTCTCCTACAGGTTTGTCAGTCCTGCCTTTCCACTCCTTTACCTGCCCCCAAAATCTGGTAGGTAGTGGTAGCTGCAGAGACAAGGGTCACTATCTGCAAGGCCTTCGATCCTTCCTGGCACCGAGAACTCTGAATTGTAGCATTTTAGCTACCAGAGATCTAGGGAATGGTATTTTCCAGGTCATGCAAATGTGCACTAGGAATGACAGAGAACCCAGAAATTTTACGTCACAGATCTCTGCTCCTCTGACAGTGCATGAAAAAGCAGTCCAGCTAGTTGGGGCATGTTGAGACTTGTAACCCCTTTTCTGTCTAAATTTGTACAGTGCTGCAACCTAATTCAATCAATTGGCCACATAGCTTTCTTACCCATGTTTATTGAAGAGCCCAGTGCATGGGAGTCTGCTCCCTTCACTAGTCAGGAGGGTAAAGGGTAAGTAACTGCTGGAAAGTAAACTCATTGCCCTCTTCCAGTAGAATAAATAAAGAAACTTGATATAATTCAAAATCTGTAATTGATATAGGTGGGTTTGTTCACCTGAAAAAACTAGGGAAAAGGCAAACTCCATGCTAGGCAACATTAAGAATGGAATAGAAAACAGAACTACTGAAATCTTATTCTCCTTATATCAACCCTTGGTATGACTGCACTTGGTATCGAATATTGTGTTCCATTCTGGTTACCCTACCTGAAAAAGGAAATTATTGAAGAAGGGCAACAAAAATAATCAGGGGGCTATAACAACTGGGACTGTTCGCTTAGAGAAAGGGGGAGTAAGACAGGAAAGATGTGTTTAAATACTGCATGGTATGGAGAAAGTGGAGAGGAAAACAGTTTTTGGTCTCTGCTGTAACACTCAAACCTGGGGTCATCCCATAAAGCTGATTGGTGTGAGGTTAAGGACAGGCAAAAGGAAGTACTTCTTTACGCAATGTATAGTTAAATTGTGGGATTTTCTGCTATGGGAAGTGGCCACCAATTTGGATGGTTTTAAAAGGGGCTTGGACAGTTTCATGAGGGAGGAGGCTATCAGTGGCTACTAACCTTGCTGGCTGTGTGCTGCCCCTTTTACCTGAGGTGGCACACCTACATACACCAGTTACTGGTAGAAGTCTTGGAAAGGACAATGTCTCACACCCATCCTGCTTGAGAGATCCTGTGAACAGCTGGTTTGCCATCATGTGTATGGAGTGCTGGACGAGATGGACTCGGCCTGATCCAGCATGGCTTTTCTTATGTTCTTATCAGTTTTACCCTAACTGTTGTACTTACAAAATACTTGCTGGATTGCATATTGCCAGTGGAGGGCAGACTTGCTAGACTGATAAATAAAAACTTTTTTTATTCAGTACTGAACAAAATGTGTAGTTGCTTTTACAGGAGTACTTGGGCAATAATTGTATATCATTCTTAGCAACACTCAAATAATTATTTCATTCTTTCTTGTGCTGAATTCTTTCAGTCACTTGCTTTTATGATTTTTTTTACCTTAATGATTATTTATCTAACATAGGGAACTAAACAATGGTATCCCTGAGAGGATTCTTATTCTAGTGTGCTCTTATCAGTACACTAATTAAACTTATGTACTCATCTACAAATGTTTTTCCTTTGGGAAGTACAACTAAGAAAGCATTACTGGATTTACAATCAAATTATTCCATAATTTGAGGCTAACTACTCTTGGGACTTTACCTAGCCATATTATGATGCCCATAGACAGGAAAAATGTTCTGCCTTTTCTGTTTTCTTTCCTGCTTTGCTCACTTGTATACTGAATAGCTAGTTAGAATGGGAAGGCGTGTATATGAGATGTCAGCCAGTTTCAGAGAGGAAGAATTCTGGATAGCTTAGACTCTGTGTTTTTCTGACTTTACTGTTTTCTAGCTTTGCCAAGATGACCTATTGGATAGATAAAAGATGTTATCAGTAGACTTCTTAAGCTAAATGTTTATTACATTCTAGACTCGAAGAGTTGCATATGCATACTTACAATTTATCCAGTTCAGTTAGACTTTTATACGGTAATAGCATCCAAGTATTTGTTATGTTGAGAAAGTAAACCTGTGTGGATGTAAATGGTGGTGTCAAGTAGCAATTCATGGATTAATTATGTCTGGACAGGGCAATTGTCTTGATCCAGGGAGTAGTTGGATACTTTGAGTGTAGATGTAATAACCCATGAATTATGGGATTGTGCTCTGTCCGTGCACCACTTCTGGTTTCCTGGAACAATCTCTGAATGTAGCATTTATAGGTTGTTTCTAGATATACAGGGCATGTGAGGTTCTTTATGGTTCTTAAACAACCCTAAATTAACCCAGGAACAAACCTCTGTTGGATACAAACTAGGTCTGTGGTTTGGGTAACAAAATAGTTGCACTGTTTAAAATACAATTAGCTGAGCTATTTTATTCTTACTTGAATGTTTTAAATATTTTGCTATTTTCTTCTGCAGGAAATTACACCAACAGTTTGAAATGTATAAAGAACAGGTGAAAAAGATGGGAGAAGAATCACAGCAACAGCAGGAGCAGAAGGGTGATGCTCCAACCTGTGGTATCTGCCACAAAACAAAATTTGCTGATGGCTGTGGCCATAATTGTTCATATTGCCAAACTAAATTCTGCGCACGTTGTGGAGGAAGAGTGTCTTTACGCTCAAACAAGGTAAGATACATGTCTACAGTGAGTATACCTGAACTTTCATTCTGCTGTTGGTTAATGTTATCACTTTATACCTGGTCTCTGAGGTCAACATGAGATCGTGTTACCATAATTGCAGATTGGTAAAATGGTAGAACTAGTGCATAGCTTTTCTAAATCCCAGTCGCAGCCTTTATCTAGCCATAGATTGTATTGCTGGTCTTTCTTTGTTAATAAACTGACAATTTCAGGTCAGCTATTCCACCCATGAGTTTGAAGATTGAAGGTTTTAAAAATTACATGGACAAGTAAGCAATCTAGTAATTTTTCGTAATTTCAATGGACTTATGTGCATGTCTGGATTAAGCATTCAAAAGACCAAAGCGCATGTGGTCATCTGGGCAAAATACCTTGGAGAAACTACATCATGACCTGGTTTGTACCACGTGACAACCCGTCATGGATAAATGATTGCCTAGCTTTGAATTGGAGAGGGTGAGAGATGGGAAAATGCATCCATTGGTATAGGGACAAGATCTTCACTTAGCAATGTAGTCTTCTGGCATTTAAGTACTGTGCTGACAGCATGCCCCTACCTTTTCAACGTGTCCCTGTTTCTTTATGTAATCCAAAAAGGGGAGATAGTAATTCCCTTCCCCCCTCCATTCCCATGAGCAGTTATTGTTAGGAATTTGGGAGAACATTTGGGGGAACTGAGAAAATATGCAAAAATAATGAAAATTAATGGAGAGAAAAATTGTATGCCTGAATTAACTGTTTTGTTAGTGCAGGTGAGCAAATTTCCCCTCCATTTACTACCGAGCTGTAAAAGATATAAAATCCCCTTTTATTAATCTTCATATTAAAGTTGCCTATATTTCTGCATTTTTTCAGAACTGTAAGTGAATCATGGTAACCACAGTGGTAAGTGCTCCAAAAAAGAACCCTGGAAAATGGGGAGGGAAGCAGCTGCAGATTTAGGGAAGCGTTGAAAATATGGAGAACATTATGAACAATTAAAAGCCAGATGATTATATTGCTAAGTGGGAGCACTTCCTTTGGTTGCACTTCCTTTGCATTCTCCTTTCTTTACAATTGATAACCCGGCAATCAATCTCTGGCAACTGTGTGCAAATTAACCCAATGTATGTAGTCTTGTCAATCTGTTTGCTTCTGCAGTTTAGTGCTCCCTTTGGCAGCAGAAGCAGACAAGGCAACACTTCTCATTTTGGACAGCAGAAAGCATGTGCCTCAGCACTTGTGAATAATTGATGACAACTACTACTGCATTAAGAACACAATTGCACAATTTGTAGAGGGTGGACCCCACCCCCAGTGACCACAACTGCATGTTTTTGAAAAACAGCAGCAAGCAAAAGTTTTCAGAAATCAAACCAGGGGGAAGGTAACAAGATGTTTTTGGCATGAGGGACACTGGGATACTGGTTGTAGGACTGAGGAAGGAGTAGAACAAGGTGTGTTAAGACTACATGAGAGCCAATGTGGTGTGGCAACTAGAGTGTCAGACTGGGGGATTGGGAGATCCAGGTTCCCGTCTCTACTCAGCCATGAAGCTCCCTGGCTGACTGTGGGTTGGTCACTCACTCCCAGCCTAAGCTACCTGTCGGGGTTGTTATTGTGAGGATAAAATGGAGCTCTGCAAGCCTACTTGGGATCCTCAAAGGAGGGAAAAGGAGGATAAAAATGCAATGTAAGAACAACATCAGCAGGCATACTATGAGTTGTTCCAAGAACAATCCAGACTGCATAGTTTATTTGCAGAATGGCTTAGTGTGATGTGTAAACTTGCCTGTTTTGTTAAAGTAATGTTTGAATCCTGTGTTTGGGATTCCTCATGCCTCTTTCTTTTTACAAATAGCAGGGCCATGGTGTGAAGGAAAAAGGTTTGTCCATCCATTTGCAGTTTTTCCTGTTTTTGATGAAAATTGCCCTGATGCTGCTATTTGCACACAGAACTATCATCTCCTTAACATAAAAATAAACCCTTATCTAATTTTCTAGATTTCTAATGCCAGTCACAATGTTCAGAGGCAGATTCATATTTTTCATATATTGTAGAATAAGGGAAAATTCTCATCTGATAAACTGTGTATTCAGCATTTTACACACAGGCAATCAGATGGACACGCACTCATGCAACCAAGTTTACAAATTATATACAGTTCCATGTTTGTGCAATATTTCATAGGTGGTACTAAGGGTATAAGAAGAGTTGTGCTAGATCAAACCAATAGTCAATTTGTTCCTGCATTCCATTTGCACAGGGGTAAACCAGTTGCCCACAGGATCTCATAAGCAAGATACAAGTGCAATAGGACCCTCCTGTCCAGGTTCCGCAGCAACTGATATACACAGGCATACTGCCTCTGATATTGAAGGCAGCATATAACCATCAGGACTAGGATACATTGATAGCTTTCTCCATAAATTTGTTCATTACTCTTTTAAATCCATCCAAATTGTTGGCCATCACTACACCATGTGGAGGTGAATTCCATATTAACCATGCATCTTTCTTTCATCTGTCCTGCGTCTCTCACTGATCAGGTTCATGGGATCTAGTATTATGGGGGAGGAAGAAAATTGTATCCCTATCCTTCTTCTCCATACACCTCTATCATGCCTCCCCTTATTGATTTACATGGTTTACAAAATCCCAGTTGTTGCAATCTTTCCTCATATGGGAGCTGCTTCCATCCCCTTGATTACTTCAGTTGCCCTTTTCTGAACTTTTTCTACTCTACAAGATCCTTTTTTAGGTGTGGTGACCAGAACACAATATTCTAAGTGCAGTCATACCACATAGTTGCATAAAGGGAATACAATCTTGGAAATTTTATTTTCAGTTCCATTCCTAATAGTGCCTAACATGGAATTTGCCTTTTTTTCATAGCATCTGTGTATGGTTGACATGTTCATTGAGCTGTTCACCAGAACCCCAATATCCTGTTCTTGATCAGTTCCCACAAGCTCAGATCCCTTTAGCTTATAGAAGATGGGATTTTTTTATCCCAACCTACATTACTTGACTCCAACTTATGTTGAACCACATTTGCCATGTTGATGCTCATTTATCTAGTTTGGAGAGATCCCTTTGGAGATCCTCACAATCCTCTTTGGTTTTATCCACCCTACATAGTTTGGTGTCATCAGCCAACTTGATCACTTCATAACTCACTCCTAATATTGTATCATAATAGGTTGAAAAGGATTGGTCCTAGTATAAATTCCTATGAGACTCCACTGCATAAGTTCCTCCATCATGAGAAATTTCTTTTTTGTGGTCTCTGTGCATCATTCATATGGGCTTTGTGCACATGTGTGGAACCCTCTTATTCTAGGACTGCTAAATTTGCCCAGGAATCTTTGATGAGGAACCTTGTCAGAGACCTTTTGAAAGTTCAACTAAACAATGTTGATAGATCACTCCTGTCCACATGTTTATTGACACTCTCAAACAATTTTAAAAAGGTTAATGAGACAGGACTTACAGAAGTCATGTTCATTCTTTTTCAGCAGGGCTAGCCCCTCTATATAGTTATTATATATTTAATGCTTTCAACCAATTTATCCATGAGTTAACTGGCCTATAGTTTCCTTGATCTCCCTAGATTCCTATTTAAAACTTGGTGTTACATTGGGCATTTTCCAGTCCTTCAGTGCAGAGGCTCTTCTTATGGATATGCTACATCTTTTTCTAATAAGGTCAACAATTTCATATTTGAGTTTTTTTAAAAGCTCTAGGATGGATACCATCTGGGCTCATTGATTTATTAAAATTCAGTTTGCCAATAAAGTTGAGTGTTTCATCTTTTGTCACTATTATCTGTCTTAGTTCTTCAGGCTTCCTTCCTGAAAGTATCAATTCAGGAGCAGATATCTGTCCTGTATCTTCTGCACTAAAGACAGTTGATTAATCTAGCAATCTCCTTATCCTTCTTTAGAACTTGTTTAATTCCATTATCATCCAGTAGTCCAATTGCCCTTTTAGCTGGTTTCCTATTTCTGATACTTTAAAATAAAGTTTATTGTTGGCCTCAATGCTGTTAGCAATATGCTCCTCAAAATGCTTTTGGCTTCTCTTATTGCCCTTCTGTTCTCCCTTTTGTTTTCCATATTTGAGAAAGAATTCCACCTTCTGAAGGACTCCTTCTTTTCTCTAATACTTTCCTTGACATTGTTCATTTACCATGCTGATTACCTCTTGGACTTTGTGCTACCTTTCCTAACTTGTGGTATATACGATCTGGGTCTTGATTTTGAATAATTTTCTTGTCGTTACTATAAAGAAATGGAAGCCTATTGTAGCTTATCAAAATGTCCTGCAACAAATAATAATCATATCACATGAAATTTTAAATTTAGAATAAGGATCTGCAAGTGGGAACAAAATGTTGCAAAATGACGTGTTCATGATCAGGTTTCCAGATACTTCATTCCATTCTCCCTTCTGATTTTTTTCCCTGTGTCCAACAATCAACACATTCAGTCTTCATTGTCCTGTTTTTGGGATTCTTCTTCTCTTAAGGTTTTTCCTAAATATGTTTCATATTTCTGCCAACCTTGGAGTTTCCTCAAACCTACTTACATATTTCTCTCATGCATGGGTGGTGTGATAAGTATGATCATTCTTCACTGAAGACTGATAACAGTGTATACAAACGTGGTCTGCAGTGTATCTCTTGAATTGTCTGAGCCTGTGGCTGAGGGGTTGAAAAACAAAAGGCAGCACTGAATGTCCCTGCTCTAATGGGAGTCCTCATGTACAATATTTTTGAACATTTAACAATTTTGAACAGTTAAATGCAGCCAGTCTGCATGCAAATTAGTAAGCATGGGCTCACAAATGCAAATGAGTGCTTTGTTTGCTTCGGAAGGAAGTCTGAGAGTATACTAAATATGGCTGTGTATTTGCAGCTAATTCTATTCAGTGGCCCTGGGCAGCTGCCAAAGGGAAGTGCCAAAGAGCATCGCCCATTTGGCGCCAGCTCAGGTGCCAGGTC